AAAAAAAAAAAAAAAAAAAAAAAAAAAAAAAGAAGGCAGGCAGCCATCACAATCAAGGAAAGAGATTCTCAGTAAGCCAGCCCTGCCAACAACACCTTGGGGTCTTGGTCTTCCAGCCTCCAGAACTGTGACAATACATATTGGTTGTTTAAGCCACCCAGTCTGTGTTTTGTTATCACCCAAGCAGAGGAATCCACTGTGTTACACACCTCTGCTCTAGTAACTTGACCAGAATACACCACCACGTTAGCTGGCTTTGCTTACGTCTACTACTGGGATAGAACATAAGCTCTAGTAGGGTGAGAAACATCTGGCTTCATCATAAGAATAAAAAAGGACACTTTGTAAAGGACCACAGAGTAAATTTAGGCTTTGGAGGCCACACATTCTCAATTACTAAACTCTCATTGGAAACTAAAAGCCACACCAGATAACAAAGACAAATAAGTATGGCCGTGTTCCAGTAAAACTTCCATTTTCAAGAACAGGCAGTGCGGGGGCCAGGCCCGTGGCTCACTCGGGAGAGTGCGGTGCTGATAACACCAAGGCCCTGGGTTCGGATCCCATATAGGGATGGCCGGTTCGCTCAGAGATTTGGGCTGGTTGGTTGACTTAGTTGGTTAGAGCTCAGCCTTGTAACCCGCTCACTCGGGAGAGTGCGGTGCTGATAACACCAAGGCCCTGGGTTCGGATCCCATACAGGGATGGCCAGTTAGCTCACTGGGTGAGCGTGGTGCTGACAACACCAAGCCAAGGGTTAAGATCCCCTTACTGGTCATCTTTTAAAAAAAAAAAAAAAAAAAGAGAGAGAGAGAATAGGCAGTGGGATGGATTTGGTCCATGGGTCATGGTTTGCTGAGCCCTGTTCTACCCCATTATAGGAGCTCAAATGTTTCATTGCTATTTTAAGTCAAGTGACTTACCAACTGGTTTGAAAGAAACTTTGTCCAGACAAGTAGTTCTCAATTCCAGGGGGGACTTGATGTTTGGAGACATTAACGGTCATAACTGGGGGAGATACTATCACCTAGTGGATAGAGGCCAGCCCAAAATGTCATTAGTGCTTAAGTGGAAAATTCCTGATCGAGACCTGGATTGTCTACAGGGTCACCTCAACCATTCCCACTAACAGTTCTCAGTTCTTTATTCTGCAAAACTAACAGGGTCAGTCTTACCTACGATCTCTGAAACTGACACAAAACACAGCCATGGCACAATATACTGTCAGGCTTCCAGGAGGCTGAAGTCTATCTCTTGTTAAACCTGGTCTGATTAAGAGAAACCATTCTCCACGATGTACAATGGACACTATAAGCAATGGAAGAAAGTGGTATAGAGAATGCAACAGCTTTAGCAGGAGCTAGAGAAGCACCTGTCACTTACATCACTCTAGCACCTGATGATACAAAACTGTTTTTTTCTGATTCCTATTTGTTCTCTTGCAAGTATGTTTTTAGTGTTTTGGGGACTCATGTGCTCTCTGAAGATGAAGGCAGTTGGGCTTTTTAAAGCATTGCTGTGGATTGAGCTGTGTCCCCCAAGGTTCATTGATTGAAAGCTTAATCCCCACTGTAACTGAGGGTGGGTAATCCTATTATGGTAATTGAAAGGTAGAGGCCTGAAGAGGTGAGGAGATTGTAGGACCATGCAGTAGTAAATGGATTAAAAGTGGTGGTCAGGTGTGGTACACAAAGGGCTTTAATAGAACATATGAGAGGTTAGTCTCTCTGCTTCCACCATCCTGCAATGTGAGGGGTCACTGCCACCACCAGATGTGTTCCTTAGACTGTGCATTTCCCAGCCTCAGAAACTAAGCTATAAATTTCATTTTCTTTATCACCCAGTTCTGTGTATTTTGTTATAGGAAACAGAGCAGAATACAAGCATTATTCCTGAAATACAAGGGTACTTCAAAAAGTTCATGGAAAGATCTGAAAACGCCTTTCAATTCTGCAGCTCCATGAACTTTTTGAAGTACCCTCATATGATCACATTGGTTCCCATTTATGAATTTTGGGGAACATACTGAGACAACAGCATAGCCAGATAGAAGATATGCCTTGGGGATCAGTATAATTCCAACTTCAACAAGAAATATGAACCAGGACAAGTAGAATACGAAAATGATCTGTCAGACCACTAAGACCTACCATATCTTGAGTAGGCCAAAAAAAAAAAANAAAAAAAAAAAAAAAAAAAAAAAAAAAAAGAAGGCAGGCAGCCATCACAATCAAGGAAAGAGATTCTCAGTAAGCCAGCCCTGCCAACAACACCTTGGGGTCTTGGTCTTCCAGCCTCCAGAACTGTGACAATACATATTGGTTGTTTAAGCCACCCAGTCTGTGTTTTGTTATCACCCAAGCAGAGGAATCCACTGTGTTACACACCTCTGCTCTAGTAACTTGACCAGAATACACCACCACGTTAGCTGGCTTTGCTTACGTCTACTACTGGGATAGAACATAAGCTCTAGTAGGGTGAGAAACATCTGGCTTCATCATAAGAATAAAAAAGGACACTTTGTAAAGGACCACAGAGTAAATTTAGGCTTTGGAGGCCACACATTCTCAATTACTAAACTCTCATTGGAAACTAAAAGCCACACCAGATAACAAAGACAAATAAGTATGGCCGTGTTCCAGTAAAACTTCCATTTTCAAGAACAGGCAGTGCGGGGGCCAGGCCCGTGGCTCACTCGGGAGAGTGCGGTGCTGATAACACCAAGGCCCTGGGTTCGGATCCCATACAGGGATGGCCAGTTAGCTCACTGGGTGAGCGTGGTGCTGACAACACCAAGCCAAGGGTTAAGATCCCCTTACTGGTCATCTTTTAAAAAAAAAAAAAAAAAAAGAGAGAGAGAGAATAGGCAGTGGGATGGATTTGGTCCATGGGTCATGGTTTGCTGAGCCCTGTTCTACCCCATTATAGGAGCTCAAATGTTTCATTGCTATTTTAAGTCAAGTGACTTACCAACTGGTTTGAAAGAAACTTTGTCCAGACAAGTAGTTCTCAATTCCAGGGGGGACTTGATGTTTGGAGACATTAACGGTCATAACTGGGGGAGATACTATCACCTAGTGGATAGAGGCCAGCCCAAAATGTCATTAGTGCTTAAGTGGAAAATTCCTGATCGAGACCTGGATTGTCTACAGGGTCACCTCAACCATTCCCACTAACAGTTCTCAGTTCTTTATTCTGCAAAACTAACAGGGTCAGTCTTACCTACGATCTCTGAAACTGACACAAAACACAGCCATGGCACAATATACTGTCAGGCTTCCAGGAGGCTGAAGTCTATCTCTTGTTAAACCTGGTCTGATTAAGAGAAACCATTCTCCACGATGTACAATGGACACTATAAGCAATGGAAGAAAGTGGTATAGAGAATGCAACAGCTTTAGCAGGAGCTAGAGAAGCACCTGTCACTTACATCACTCTAGCACCTGATGATACAAAACTGTTTTTTTCTGATTCCTATTTGTTCTCTTGCAAGTATGTTTTTAGTGTTTTGGGGACTCATGTGCTCTCTGAAGATGAAGGCAGTTGGGCTTTTTAAAGCATTGCTGTGGATTGAGCTGTGTCCCCCAAGGTTCATTGATTGAAAGCTTAATCCCCACTGTAACTGAGGGTGGGTAATCCTATTATGGTAATTGAAAGGTAGAGGCCTGAAGAGGTGAGGAGATTGTAGGACCATGCAGTAGTAAATGGATTAAAAGTGGTGGTCAGGTGTGGTACACAAAGGGCTTTAATAGAACATATGAGAGGTTAGTCTCTCTGCTTCCACCATCCTGCAATGTGAGGGGTCACTGCCACCACCAGATGTGTTCCTTAGACTGTGCATTTCCCAGCCTCAGAAACTAAGCTATAAATTTCATTTTCTTTATCACCCAGTTCTGTGTATTTTGTTATAGGAAACAGAGCAGAATACAAGCATTATTCCTGAAATACAAGGGTACTTCAAAAAGTTCATGGAAAGATCTGAAAACGCCTTTCAATTCTGCAGCTCCATGAACTTTTTGAAGTACCCTCATATGATCACATTGGTTCCCATTTATGAATTTTGGGGAACATACTGAGACAACAGCATAGCCAGATAGAAGATATGCCTTGGGGATCAGTATAATTCCAACTTCAACAAGAAATATGAACCAGGACAAGTAGAATACGAAAATGATCTGTCAGACCACTAAGACCTACCATATCTTGAGTAGGCCAAAAAAAAAAAATTAGTCCCTGAAGAACTAAAAATAGTGCTATAGGAGAATGAAGACAATATTACTGACACAGAAAGCAGAAAGATGTTAGAAGATAAAATGGCCAACTGGTACTAAATAGCGATTCTATGGCAGACCCTACAGAATGCCAAGTGTCAGATTTAGACTCTTCATTTTTATAAAAATTACATCACCCTGAAGTTCCTACCAGAGAACACTTGGTGAATTACTAGAAATCATCTAATAGCACTAAGCTTAGTAGTAATGGCAGGTTAAGCTGTTTTAGACATCCAGAAGATTGAGCTATTCACATAGAACTGATTCTGTCTTACCTACACATTAGGATTATATGGGCAGCTTTTAAAAACCCCAATTCCAAGTCAACCCCCAACCAACTGACTCAATCTCTCCAGGTAGGACCCTGGAAGCAGTATCTTTGAGATTCTCTATGCAATTTCATATGCAGATCAATGTGAAATCCACTTCCCTAGAACAGGGCTTAGCCAACTATGGACCACAGTCAGTTTGGTCTGCCTCTTGTATTTGTAAAAGTTTTATTGGACCAAGGGCATGGCTGTTCATTTATTATCTTATTGTTAAAGCAGCCATTTTCAACAACAGAACTATATAGCTATGACAGACTATGGGCTGCAAAACCGAAGATATTTCTCATCAGAACCTTTACAGAAGAAATTTGCTGACTACCGCCTGGAAGGAGATGCTAGGTTGAAGACGTTTTCTTTTAATGTGATAGAATTGAGTGAGTTTTTTCTATGTGGGAAAGGAAATGTTTATTAAAAGAATGTTGATTTAACTTGGTAGCACCTTGGCAATTCAGACATTTTATGAGCATTAAACACATATACATAACTTGTGGAAACAAGTTAGAATATTCACAGATGAGGAAACTAGGGAGACTTACTTCTTAGTTTTGAACCGTGTAAAATGTTTAACATTAGGGGATATTGGGTGAAAGGTATGTTTCAGAATAATTTTAGGTTTATTTATAAGAGTTGCAAAGCTTTTTAAATGCTGAAAACACCACAAAGAGAGGTACTCTGTGTACAGTAACCAAGAGTTAGAACCAACCTAAGTGTCCATCAATGTCTGACTGGATAAGGAGACTGTGGTGCATACACACAATGGAACACTACTCTGCCATAAGGAATGAAATTCTGCTATTCCCAGCAATAGAGAAAATTATGTTAAGTGAAATAAGCCAGGCACAGAAAGAGAAATACTGCATGTCCTCACTAAGAATTAAAAAGTAAAAATAAAATAGGTATGAGTAATGTAAACATGAACAGCCAAGTGCTGATAAGATTAGGAGCTGAGATGGAACAAGCCTGGATAATGACAGTAAAAAGGGAAAGGCATCTATATACTAAAAGTAGATATGCCACAGCCTGAACTACAGGATTATTAGAGACCCCATACGTACTTAGCATCAGCGTCCGGCTTTTCGGTTTTCCTTGATGCTGTCACCAGGTACTGGTTCTAGAAAAAAAAAATACAAACCTGTAAACTCCATAAGCACATGTCACTCTTCCTTAAGCATCCATGACAGTGACACTTGAATCCTTTTGATATCAAGGACTTTTAGGGAGACATTCTGGTCTCCTGCAGTCATATTGGGAGAGTATGTCCTAAGCCCCAACAGGTGGATCCAGAAATGTTTTAACAAATCTTCCAGGTGATTATGATGAATGCTTAAGTTTGAGGACCATGGACGTAGGAAAGACCTAAGATCACCCAGCTGCTGAAGTTGAAGCCAAGTATAAT